TTTAAGCTAAAAGAAGTAAAGAGCTAAGTTAAAGGCTGCAGCAAAACGTATTGTTCATATGTATCAGGGCAGATTTACAGAAGAAGAAGTGTAGAAGACAACAGGTGCAGATGGGAAGGCAGAGAATGACCTTGCTCCGACACACACACAAAGAACCAGAAAGGCAGGAAGCAACTCCATACATGGAGATAGGTAGTAGAGAGTATGATCATTCTGTGGGACTGTCTGTGTGAAACTGTAAGATGTTCCCCTATTAAGATAATAAAAAGAGCCGGTGTTGCAGGGGGGGTCAGAGTTCCTGTCCGCAGATGCATGCTGCTGATGCTCTTTTCCCTTTGCAAAGGCCAATCGAAGCTTCTTTGTCCAGAATTTTTTAATAACACTTCATCTCAGTTAAGTTACCTGCACCCGAATTAACGGACCCGGGGAAAAACCATGAAGGTGTTTTTCAACAAAATACAAGACTGGTTTCAAATTAGATAAATAATGCTGTCTTACCAGCTTAATCCAGCTGCTTAATTAAGTCTTTTCCTAATTGTTGTCCTCTGGGGTACATAATTGGTCTCCTTTAAAGATGATTATATCACTGGATATTCTCATGGTATTTATTTAGTACCACATCTTGAAAGGTCAGGGTTCAGTCTGTGGTTTTGCTGAGGTATAACAGAAACCCAGGTTGTTTAATAGCAGCCTTTAGTTAATTTGTATTGTTCATTTGTATTGGAAGCAAGAAATGCTCTGAAATACCCTGGTAGGTGGGGGGGTTGTTACCTCACCAGCAGGTGGCATTGCCCCACATCCTCACTGGCTGTGAAAACCTAAAATGACTTAGGTTTTTTCTGCCTCTCCAGGCTCTGATCTTTCATGATGCCTTTTTCCTTTTTGTTTAAATTTTAGGTCTCAAATTGGTATTTCTATTAGTATGAACTTTTTCCTTGCATTCTCAGTTTTATGAGTTAAACGTGTGTTTAAAGGGATAAAGGTGGCCTCTTCAGGCTTCTAAAGGTTGGAATAGAATAACCATCATTTGATAACCACAAAAAAATGCACATCCTGGTATGGCTTAAGATTATTCTATTTTCTTTAATGATTCTTAAAAAAGATTTTCCAAAGAAAAGTCTTTTTTTTTTTTTTCAAATAAGATGATTATTTCACCTGTCTTTCCAAAGCATGCTGAAAACTCCTAAAGCAGACGACCATCACTCAGGGACGTAAAAAAACAAAAACAGAAAGAAAACCAACAACCCAGGGGTAGCTTGGTTCTCACGTTTAAAAGTTATTGCCGGGCCTCAGTGGAAAATAGAAAATTGTATTGATTTTTTCTAAGAGTGAACAGACATTACACAGTGTTGATTATAGAGCACACTGTGTTCAGCAACTTTGATTACGATGAAGATGCCGAAGTGATGCGGCTGCCAACCACAGTCACCCCACCACAAGGTCTCACTTTGTACCTTACACACTTGCAATAAGCATGTGTTTAAATGTGAAATTCTAGTATCTGCTGGATTGCAAAGACTAACAAAAACATTCAAAAAGAAGGTTGTGCTCATGCCTCTCAAGGAAAAAGGTGTTGCTCACAAAGATCGAAGATGTTTCAGCAGCCTTTGATTTTCTTTTAATCGTCCCACATTAAAGTTTTTCAACTTCATAGGTGGATTGCTCAGATACTGTAGCATCACACCTAAAACTGGAACCACACATTGAACTGGCTCACATTTAAATGGAAATCTCACTAAAGTTGTTATTGCAAAGTAAAGTAGTACCAGAGACTGATTCTTCCCATTAAAGTGCATTAATATAATATTTTCTTTTGCATTTAATGCAATTTTATCATGAAATAATCTGCATATTTTTTTCCTTCTCTATTTTCCTGCTTAACAAATTTCAAAATAAAAGGCCAGTAGAGACTAAAACCAAACAATAAAATAGCTAAATGATAAATCCCTCCCCCTTTAGCAGCTTATATTCGATGTTATAGATTTGTATTATTTGCTTTATGTCGGTTTAATTTTACATTTTCCTCAGGGGATTAATTAAGTACCTATTTAGTTTTAATATTTTCTTTCAGCTTTGGTAGAGACAGAACTGGAATCTGTCTCCTATCATTAGAATTGTGCGTATAACCCTTTCACAGACTGGTGGGCTGTCAGTGGAAATATCTGAAGGACTACCACAAGGTTTTTTTTTTACTTTACCTTTGAAACAGGAAGTTGTTGACATATTATCCGCTATTCATGCATAATATTGTTTTCTTCCAGAGATGGTATTAATATGTTTTTTTTTTTTCATTTGTTGACATAAAAGAATGCGTGCTTTTTTAAAAATCGTTCCTTCCGATTACTTGTCTTGTTGTTATAAACACTGTTGATTCATTCATCTAATTTATTATAAATCTCTATCCCCTCTTTTCTATAAAAGAAAATTGCTAAAAGCAGTACTGGTTTACTATTTTTTTTCTAGATATTGGATAAAATAAAAAAACAGAATATACAAAAAAATTGATGCAAACAATTACAGTGCAAATTATTTAACTTAACAAAAATTTTTTCAGATATATTTTTTCTTGAATGTATTTTCAATTTAAGGCAAAAAATGTTTTTATATATATATATATATATATATATTATATTAAACATTTATTAAAAATCTTTTGTTTTAGTACTTTAAGAATAGATGTGGTTCGCTTTATTTTTTTTTAAACTTAATTTTACATTGGCTTCATCTGTGCAGAGGAAATGTCTCATGAGCGAAAATGTATGAAAGTAACTGAAAGAAAGGCAACACTATACAATTTTCTTTAATTCAATGTATATACAAAATGCTCCATTCACAACTCTGCCTGCAGAAAAACATATGCAGTTAAACATCAGTATTGAAGAAATATTTTTTCATTGATAAGTCAAACAGGGGCTCATTATCACAGTGTTCAAAATTTAAAAACGAAATGTAGAATAAAACGGCTGCTTCTAGATAAAATATCACATTTTTCTATAATATTTTTTCCTTCAGTTTAAGTTTGTGGGCGTGTGTCTGTATTTACGAAGCCTATGCAGAATAAATTCCAAATGTTCTTAAAAAAATCGACTCTGTGTCAAGCTGGGATGTGAATTTTTCCCTTATTGTGGAGAATCTTCTCCTGCGTCCTGTGAGTTGGGTTTGGGCTTTGCCAGGTTGGCTCTGACCCGGGCCTGGTCCACGGCATCCAGCAGGTTTTTAGAGTCCAATGCCAACGTGTGAGCAGCTGCCAGCATCTGCTTCTGGCACTCCTCTTTCAGGGACGTTACAGAGTTCTGCTGGGCCAGCCGCATCTTGTTGATCAACTCCCCCAGATCCTTGTTCAGCAGCTTCTTGGTGCCCTCGATCTGAGCCAGGAGGAAATCAAAGGACAGTTTCATACTCTAAAATATTAGTATCATTTTTTTTTAACAGTGGCTCTCATAAACTCAACACACATCTGTTTAAATGTCAGCTTATATGATGTTAAAAGGTATAGAGGATGATCTTTTATTTCCAGGTGGATCATCTAAATAAGTGGTCCTCCTAATTGTCAATCTTTCTGGTAATAAGTTTACCTAAGGCCGTCTTACACTGCAAAAATCCGAAATCTCAAATGATTTTTTTCTTACAATAACATTTGTTCTTGAATTGAGGAGGTAAGTGAGCCACTTTGCCAATGGAACTTAGAAAATTAAATTAGAATAAATGTTTCAAGTGCATATTATCTAATTATCTTACTTCTAGTGTAAAAAATAGTAATTCCATTGGCAATTCATCTTATTAACCTGCTAAAATTAAGGTTAAATACACTTAATTTAAGACATTTTTGCTAATTTCTACATCATTTTTGCAGTGTATGTACTTTTCCTCAGTTAGCTATCTTTTTCTGCACATGCGCACTTTCAGGCATACATCTGTGGTGAGCTGCAGTTTCAGACAGTCATTGAAGCTCACCTTTCTCACTGCGGTTCTTTGAAAATCGCAGAGGGTTGTAAGAGGAAAAAGTTTTTATGAAGTTTATGAGAAAAAAAAAGGCAGCAGAGCAGGCCGATATATATATATATATATATATATATATATATATATATATATATATATATATATATATATATATATATATATATATATAT